TAGTAATAGCTCCTTAATATGGACTTAATAAGGCCTTAATATACCTACAATAGTCCTTTGTGGTACCCATTACTGGGTGGGGGATTGACCCAAGGTTTAGGGTTTACCCACCATGTGAGCCTTGCACTTCAGTCCCAAACCCCTAAAAAATCTCACATTGTGAACAGCAGCTGAAAGCCCTGTGGAAGATGACCTGGAGGGGCTGGGCCTATATATCCTGGGTTCCATACCACCCCAAGTTCCCCCCAAATTAACCTTGATTAACTCAAATTGGCCGTGAACAACCTTAAGGGGGAACCTAGGGGATAGCCCAATGGGGGGGGTTAATCGTAGATCCATTTATGTATAGCTGTCGTTCTAGCCCCGCTCTACATCCCGCAAGTCTCTCTGTAGCAGGGCTATACTTGCTTTATGATTACAACCCCGGAGCCCTAAACCCTAAGCCCTAATCTCTGAACCCTAAACCCTGCACCCTAAACCCTGAGCCCAAAACCTGCCCCTCCAAGCGTCTACATGGTACTTTCCCAAAATAGGGGACCCCAATATAGACTTGAAACATACTATGTTATTATGGGGACCCCTAAAATGGTATACCCAATTTTGGGCAACTCCTGCATTGATTAAGGCTGGGGTTGTCCCTCAGCCAAGCTGGTTTGACTCCAAGCACGCTTGGTGCCGCGTTAGAGTTCAGGACTTAGGGCTTAGGGTTTAGGATTTAAGGTTTACCTAAACCCCAAAAGTATGTAAAAAAAGAGCCCTAGACCCCAAATAATAGCCATAAAGGCCATTATTTTACATACTGTTGGGGTCCAGGTATGGTTTAGGGCACCCTAAACCCTAAACCCTAAACCCTGAACCCTAAACCGCAGTTTAGGGTCAATCCTTTCGAACCCAGAAGTTTGAGAGCCGGCTCAGGGCCTAAACCTAGGAGGGGTGTCTGTGGCACGAGCTGACAAGCTTAAACCTATGGTCTCCCTTAAGTAGAGGGTTTAGGGTTTAGGGTTTAGGGGGTTTTAGGGGTATGGTCTCCCTTAAGTAGATAGAATATGGGGTATATGGGGATCTTATTGTAATATACCCAAAGCCATATTCTATCTACTTAAGGGGGGCTATAAACCCTCCACCAGTGTCATGTTTGAAACTAGGGGAATTAACTCGCAGGTCCAACCTTTCCATTGCCGGGGCATGGGTCATCTGTTGCTGTTTAGGGTTTGGGGTAAGGGTGTAGGCGTGTTCCGTTGTAGCATGCTTATTTGGAGGGTCGGGGAGACTTAGTAACTAGGTTAATAATGGGGATATCTTGGGGTACTACGTGGGTTATAGGGGTTAGGGGGCTAGTAACCCACTTATTCATACTAAGTCCCTCTGACCCTCCAACTAGAGCCCTAAACCCTAAACCCCTATGCCCTAAACTTTGTGCAACTATGCCAGAGGCGATCGCTTCATATCTCTGTTTTCAGAATGCTTCAAACTTTAAAACTGGAGGAAATGCCTGCTGCATTCTAGGTACCCAGGGTTTAGGGTTTAGACACCGTTGAGGTGGCTAGATCTCCTTCACTACCCGGTTTTAAACAATACCCAGGAACCAGGATACCCCAAAATTCCGAAACCTAAACCCGGAACCCTTGAGTGGCTGAGCCAGAGCATTACCACGCTACTTCGAGGGTCAGGGGGGCTCAGTAAGCAGGCATCCAAGTCAAGCAGCTAATGGTTTAAGGGCAGCGTGCTAAGATTTGAGAAGTTCATACCTTGTCGTTCTTGGAGCCTGCGCCAAGAGCGGTTTGGTGTGCACTATCACTATCAAAATGGAACACTGTCCACTGCTTTCGCTATGCATATTGTTCTTGGTAATGTTGTTTCTGTTACTACTACAATTTCTCCTCCTCCTGCTGCTAGTTCTGATTCCACGACCACCAACCTTACCACTATTCTTACTCAGTTGTAAGGAGCTCCATCAGCCCGAATGGAAAATGCCTCAGTCTCCTACGTATGAAAGAGTTGAGGGGCATGTGATACTACAGCTTCACCAGGGCTATAGACTAAAGAGCAAGAATTGAACTTTTCTGCTTCTACATTAACAGCGCGGCGAAGCGTGTAGCTTGGAGTGACGGATTCCATGCAAAGGCATGTGCCAAAACCGTCCGCAAGAATCGAGGAAAAGCTAGATCACTTTAAGAGGTTGCAGCGGGAGTGTCACTGCAGAAAACTAGACAAGGGCCTCGGTGGGGGAAAAACACGTTCCAAAACTGAAGCCCACGGCGAGCCTACTTAAACGGGCTGTCCTATAGAAAAATGCGGGCAGCCTATTCACAACCCGGGACCTGGATTGCAAAAGCAACCTCTGTCCTGGAAGGCAAGTGCAAGCTGTATGTGTGCTAGGGTTTCTCCAAATGATTTCTACATGATGACTGGGGCTACATAATCTCCATCCCCTACACCCTAACGCTCACCCCCGAGACAGCTTGATTTTACCTAAACCATAATTAATGAGAACCCCCCCATCTAACGGACAACTTAGATTACTGAGTTTAGGGTTTAGGGCGGCGAAGGAACGTCAGCCATAAACTCAGATATTTTGTAACTTCATTCGCGTTCCTTAACAGCAACCCAGAATATGCATAGGAAACAAGCCTCCATAAACCCTAAGCCCTAAAACAAATTACCCTTACTCGGCCTCAAAGGGCCCTGTATGCCCTTACATCCCCTAAGGGCCCTGCTGTTTGAGAAGCCCTCATCTGAGCTGTAGTCTAAACTCCTTGAAAGAGTGATTATATAAAGGATTACAAAGTGTTTTGGGTTTAGGGTCTAAACTCGTTAAAGGGGATTATATAAGGGATTAAAGGGTTTAGGGTTTAGGGTCTAAACTCCTCAAAGGGGGATTGTACAGCGGATGAGAAAGGGGAGTGTTACAAGGCAATTAAGTGGGATACGAGGAGTTCAGACTGTAGCTCCTTTGCGCCATAGTCTAAATCTCTGAGTATCCCCTGTAATGAGCCCTATAGTGGTCCCGCATGTAGTCTCCTATACAACCCCCTTGAACGAGTTTGGAATATAGCTCATATGATGTTGTACGAATCCTTCCACCCCGACTGGTTCGAATGATGAACGAGTGAGGCGGTTTAGGGCTTGGGGTTTAGGAGTTAGGGCTTAGGGTCCATTTAGGGGTTAAGCGGTTTATAAAAGGTTTAGGGTTGAGGGTCAAGGGTTGAGGGGTTTAGGGGTTAGGGCTTTAGTTAACATATTGTTCTAGATTCCTGGTATAATAGTGGTAAAAGGGTACCACAAAGACACCTCAACCTGGCGTTGACCATTCGGCTTCTACATTATAAAGCATTGAGGTGTTGAGAAACCTTAAAACCCTAAACCCTGAACTTGAAAGTCAGATCTTAGGGCGTGTTACTTCGAAGTCCATTGCAAGAAGAATGCGAAGCATTGAGGCTCCTAAGAACGGTGCAACAAGCGTACCCTTTTCCTGATGTTCAGTTCTTAGTAAGGAAGCCCCAAAACAAAAAGTTCACAAACCTTACCACTTCAGTACCTGAGAGGGGAGCCACAACAGGTGGTCATTGTATTAGGGACATATGTAACATGATGGGTGGGAAGGGTCCTTACTACTAGTATGAAGGGATTACTATGCTCATCGGGAAGCCCAAGCTTAAAGAGCATATGGTCTTTCTGAATCTTTCTCTTTGAACGCGTTCGAATTTCGGCAAATACCCATCATCTCTCTATGATGAATGTATCAGGCCCGCAGTGGCTTTGTGCCCTCTGCTGTTTCCGAAGACTGCTTGCGTAAGCTCATCAGATGACCTTGGCAGCCTCGAGCCATAAACCGTGAACCCCAAACCCCATCCAGCCTATCCTACCCTAGAAGCCCAGGTACCCATACAGTAGGTCCTTGGGTTCCAGATAATATAAAAATTATATAGGGACTTAAGGACAGGAACCCGATATATAGGTAACTGGGCTTCTAGGGCTAAATCAGCTAAGCCTGAGCTACAGCTCTTGCTAAAGACGGGCAGATGCATACAGAGAAAGATGGCCTAAACTCAGATGTTGCTCGCCAACGGATTCAAAACCATCCAATACGAAGCAAACCAATACTTGAACGCATTTGCAGGATTTTGCGCCTGTGTATCTCGCAAAGTTCGATTCTGAATTAGTCTGATGCTTAAAGGGAGGAGTGGGGGAAGGGAGGGAATATAGGAACCAAACTCTGAGCCCTGAACCCTTCTACAAGGTTAGGGTCTTTGTGCCGCATGCTGTAGACAGAAATCACCTAGTATAAGTACAGATGCTGAAGGGCTAGAAATCCAAAAATATTAGATCCCCTAGAACCAGATTGGGAATTATGTGATGATTTTGTAGCAGCTGTACTGGACTATATATTATAGTAAACCACAACAGTAAGGCTTAGTTGTTAGAGAAAGGAGCTTAACAGGACGCAAGAGTTCTTGTCACTCCGTGGCGAATGCGGAACACGCCCAGGACGAAAGCCAGGCTGTGCCAGTACAGGACTGAGAACCCTGGCACCAAAACGGTTTAGGGCTTCGGGTTTGTAGTGAATGTACCCCTGCCCTCTGGCAGTAAACCTATCCTCCTGTAAATGCTTGGGCTACAGTAAGTAATGTTGATCATCGGGTGTTGTGTCTCTGTTTGTGTGTGTGTGTGGGGGGGGGGGGGTGGGGGCGGGGCTGTTCAAGAAAGGGATTATGACTTACCCTGGCTGTGGCATCTAAGCGTTTGAACCTCCAGTTGGCATTTGAAACCTGCTGGGGGCCGAAACACAACTTTGTACTTTGGAGGTCCGTTCGAGATACTGTAACTATACAAAGCATATGGGGCAATAATGTTGGCAATAGCATAACTACTCGTCTCGCGAGAAGCTCTGGCTTTCGTGTGCGGGCATCACTTCAAACATCTGTGCTTGGAAACAGATATGGTCAACGCCCGTCTTGGCCGACACACGTATCAGCACAATCCTTTGGCAATCTGAATTGTCATGGTAGACGCTGACAGGAGGAGTTCAGGACACATTCTTCTATATTTGCTGCTCAAGAGCCGTAAACCCTAAATCCCAAAACCCTAAAACCCTCAACCCTAAACCCTTGTCCATATTGTTTTTACAATTTTGTCAATCCTGGCACACAGGAATCTCAGGCTTTTGCTCTCACTTTAATGGGGTCGGTTTGGGCGCTCCATGACATTAGCTTTGGCTTTAGAATAATTTTACTTTGTAGAGGGATAATGGAAAAGAAAATGGAAACTATATAACGGATTATACAGGGTATATATTGGGGTAAACGAGAAAAATCTCAATTCCCAATTTAAGGTCATGTAGGTAGTCTTCCCTATATAATCCACTATTTAGGATGAGGTCAGGTGAGGTCACTTTAAGTCGGCCAGCTTTATACGTATGATCGAGGAATTACAAATTCACAACATGAATAATTTTCACACCTACCCCTGTTTATGCTTTCCGAAACCTGTGTCCTACAGCTACCTGCTTATGCCAAATTACCCCATGATTGCGTCTGGGATTTAGGTAATAGCTAATGCGGAATAGAAACCCTAAACCCTCAACCCAAAAGAGAGAAGCATATGCACCATTGTCTAAACTCCTAGTATCCCCCTTAATAACCCCTATAGTAGACCCCTATATAATCCCCTATATTCCCCCTTTAAGGAGTTTAGACTATAGCTCCTTTGCTTATTGGGGACTTGGGCCATTCTCGGGCTATACCCGAAAGAGAAAGGGATGAGAAGCTTTCACAAGGTAAGCACAATCATGTACGGGCCCACTACACGCCTTCTCTTTGTGCTTGAACCAAGTAAGGTTCCAGTTTTCTTCTTGAATATCATACCCCAAAACGCGGGTACTATCTTTTACCTTGATCCCCTCCCCATTAATGATGAACCCCAGCCGCTAATAAAGAATATCCCCAGTAATTATGATACTATTACATAATGGAGGGTGTATTTGTTATTGCGGCTCTGGGGTAGTATTATCAGGGGGGAGGTGATGATTGGGAAGTGCAGTACCCACAACTGAACACTGTACATCGTTTGTGCACTGCTACAGCTACTGACGTACTTGTATATATATATATAGGTTGAGGGTTAACCCTAAGCCCGAAACCACAAACCTAACCCTGAACCCTAAACCCACAAACCTTAACCCTAAATCCTAAGGGAGACGGTCCTGACTCCTCTTGCAGAGCATCATGAGGAAGCTCCGATCTGTGATAGGCCATACGCTAGCCACGTTGCAGCTAGCCAGACCCCACAGCGTTCAGGGAGAGGGGTACAGGCTTTAGTCATCACTTAGATAGCTTCTGGTCCCTCTTAAGTAGGTAGAATACGGAATGCTCCAAATTTACAATAAGCTCCCTATACCCTACAATCGATCTTCTTAAGCGGGGCTATAAGTAGATAGCAGATGTGCTCTTGAGGACCCGTACTAAAGGGAATGCTAGGAGAATATCCAGAGAAGATATGGGGGTTTCGCAAAATTAGGGGTAATTATCTCTCTGTTTTTTGGGGCGAGGCGGGTGCGGGCCCCCAATAAAAAGGACTTTAAAATTCTGATGTCTATATTGAAGTCCCTGGATTCTGGGAACTGCCATCTGGATTTGAAGTTTGGGCCCTGACCATAGGTGGGAAACCAGTCCACTGTGGTTCTGGGAAGTGCATCCACCATTTCCTAGGGACTCTCAGGACCTCCACTACCTGGTACCCCACTACCCATTCAGACCCAAATAAAGAAGGAATGCCTCAAAACCTAAACCCTAAACATTAAGTAGTCAGCCCAGTGGGATAGGGTACCAGGTAGTGGGGGTTCAAAGAGCTCACTCCTGAGGATAGGGTTTAGGAGTAAATGCTATCTATAGACCAATGAGCTATAGTCTAATCTCCTAGTATCCCCCTTCATGCCCCCTATAGTAGTCCCCTAGATAATCCACTATAGAGCGCCCTTGATAGATTTGGAGCCCCAGTGTAAACCTGCGAGTTGAACTTGAGTGTGCGTCCTGCTGCAGAGGGAAGAAGAGGAGTTTGATGAAGGCGGTGTAGGCCACGATGGTCCATCCAAAAGCCTGCTCTACACCTTGGCAGCATGATACCAGAAACTGGGTTGCTGTTAAGGAACTTAAGAAAACCAGACATACGGGCATATAGTACATGATAAGGTTTCCTTGTGAAAGTCACTTCATCCAAGTTCCTGAACAGCAACCCAGAAAATCCGGATCAAAGTGCTCAGAATCAGGAGCAGTAGGAGTAGCTTTACAGCAGGAGTGCAGAGCCTCCGCAACATGCGGAGGAGGCGACGAGGAGGAGGAGGAGGAGTACCAGGAGTCGGGCGAGTAGTAGCAATAGTAGTACTACTAGCAGCAGCAGCAGCAGCAGCAGCAGCAGCAGCAGCAGGCACCATCAAAAGTAGCGATGAGAGCGAGAATTTTGACTTGCGCATGCACAAGCGCAAGAGGGAAATTGAAGGAAGACCAGTACAATACGAAGCTACAGGACAACACAGATGGGCGTCCTACCAAGAAAGCAGACAAGAAGTTCTCTGTGCCCGCGGCCGTTGTCCCGCAAAGTCTGGTCAAGGCCCTTGATGAGGTTTGCCTGGAACCCAATGAAGCCATTCCACCAATCATCAGGCAGCGGCTTGTTGTTCATGGGGTCCACAAGAACGTTCCCATCTGCGCCATAGAGATAAGTCACATTGGGGTCAAGCTCTATGGGCTTGGCATCAGCCGCATATGCTGGAGGCACCAGTTCATGGCCCAGGCGACCTGCTGCTTCTGAAAGGGCTTCGGAAAACTGCTGTACTGCCATGGCCATGGCTTCGAAACTCGGTGCATCTGCGTGTTCTCCAGAGGCTTTGTGCATTGCCTGTGTGAAGTGCTCCAGCAGTTGAGTGCTTTGCTCTTCCAAGCCACTCCACACATGAGGATGCAGCAAGTCAATGCTCTCAGGCGGCACAGCTGCCTTGGTGACCTTTGCCAGCCGCCGCTTCAAAAGCTTTGGGCGATGCCGCCGCGCGCGGCTGGACAGGACACCCACTGTGGCCACGGCTGCAGCTGCACCGAGGGTTGCCCCGCTGCTTCTGGCCGTGGCCGCTGTGGCCGCTGTGGGCTGGGGAACATGTGTGGCCGGCGCTGCGCGCGCAGCAGCCTGCACCACAAAAGCCTCTGACAGTTCCATGAGAGTTCGCTCGCTCTACTCAGCACCCCAAAACTGACATCTAGAAAAAACTCAGCTGCGGTAAAACGAGCGAGAAGGTGCATTTCACGAAGATTGTTGATGACATTGCCTCAGAGCTCTCCAAGTGTGCAACCGCGGTCTTTTCAGCTTCGCTCTAACTGCCACTGCTCTCTAGAACCGCGCTATTCGCACAGGAGGCTAGAAGATTCCCACACATGGAGCACGACTTGCCTGGTAATGTAGACCCATGATTTATAAACCCCTCCTTTTAGGGGCCTAAATATTTGGATCCCTACTATAATCCCTATTAAGAAGGAGGGGTTATAAATCAGGGGTCTACACCTATAGACCCTAAACCCTAAACCCCAAATAGTAGTTTCTATTTCATTTTCCATCATCCCAATATAACCCCAATATAATCCCAATATAACCCCAATATAACCCAATATAATCCCAAGTATTTTCCATTATCCGGCTTTCCTCGGAATCTTCAGAAGCCCGGTAAACCCATGGATCTGGCTCCAGCGGTGAGGAGGAGCCATGTTCAGACACCACAAGCTCTCCTTTAGCTCAGATCCTCATGTTTAACTCGGTTTAGGGCTTAGATTGTAGGGTTTAGGGTTTAGGATGTAGGGTTCAGGGTTTAGGATTTAGGGCTTAGATTTTAGGATTTAGGGTTTAGGATTTAGGACGCTGCTGCCCCCGGACCTTCCGAGTACCTATGTCCCCATCTGTTCATGCGATGATAAGTGCCTGCGGCTTGCAATCTCTAAGCTTGAGGATGCGAGTACAAGTACGCTATACAGGTAGAGGAGTTCATGAGGATTATAGGAGCATGTAGGGATAATGGAAAAGAACATGGAAACTACTAGTTAGGGTTGGGGTTTAGGGTTTAAGACCCAGTAATTGAACACCAAATGGAAAAGAAGATGGACAATGACATGGAAGCTGGGAGTATGTCTAGACTATTCAGCCAGCCTTCCCTCCTGAGTATGTAATGCCTAAGCGGGGGACGGAGAAAAAAAACGCAAGTCACCCTCGCATGCTCACAGTTCGTCGAAGGATTGGCCGTCCGAGTAAGAGCCAAAGGGCACGTAATCTGCCTGTCGCACGGAACAAACCCAAAAGCTTAAATATCAGTTTCCATTTTCTTTTCCATGATCCCTATTTACCCCCATAATCCCTATGTACCCCTAGGATACTGTGAACCTTTTGCCATGCCACATATATTCTCGAGGCTCAGTGGGGTCATGAAGGGCTCAAAGACAGGAGCCCACCACATTTTCCAGCCTTCAAATGCCTAAGCTGCAGAGGTCCTTGAGACTATCGCTCTCTAAGAAACCTCTTTTAATGCCTATTTCAAGCCCCAGAGACGAAAATTACATTACGCTGGTTTTTCCAATTCCACTTTCGGTGGGGTAGTCTGGACCCACAGCCTTCAACTTCTTGAAATCTGCAAGCATCCGTGCTGGAAGTTTACAATGAGAAGGTGAGGGCCTGAGGTTTGCCTGCATGCTTGGTGTGTGTTTCACGAATCCACAAATTTTGGTTCTGGGTTTTTGGGGATGTTCAGATGAATTCTGAAATCCACGCCTTGTGTAGCTTTGACCCCTGCCCTAGCCAAAGCTCCTCATGCAGACTGTCACAATTGCCCCATATCATGAAGACCTCAACGAAAACAATCGCTTATGGTGACTACTCTGAGGAGGTACCCACTTATGTCCCTAGAAATCCAAACAACCGAATGTAGGTAATATTTACAGCCTTTAGGGCCCAATGTAGGTATTGTTTGTATACTCGGATCTCTAGGATGTCCTTACCTAAACCCCCAAAAATGTATCTAAAACAATAGCCCTAAACCCATAATAACAGCCATAAAGGCCATTATTTTACATACTTTTGGGGTCCACCCTAAACCCTAAACCCTAAACCCCTAAACCCTAAACCCTAAACCCTAACCCTTTCCGGACCTCAATCGTATCTTCGCCCTCTGGTAAAACCAGCCTCGGAGCGCAGGCTTTGGCCCGGGAATGGAATATTACTACTACCTGAAACCCAAAGGTTTAGGGTTTAGGGTTTAGGGTTTAGGGTTTAATAGTAGCCCAGAACCAATAAGAACAGCCCAAACAGCAAGTGTTCTACATACTTTTGGGGTTCAGGTATTGTCATTCTCATTGCTACTTCTTCTTGTACTTACGATGACCATTATGGTTGTTATTTGTAGAATGCTTATTATGACTGTCTTCATGCTAAGATTAAAACACCTCCGCAACCCCCTAACATCAGATATTTCCTGTAAGAGACCTCGCAAATGGGAAGGCGTATTGAATTACAGGTGGCGGGGGGTGTTTGACATTAGTATGCAGGGCATACTATTGTCGTTGGTTGCTGTCAAGAAACTTCAGCTAAGCGAACATAATACAAATGTGAATACATACATCTAACAAATACCAGGATATCTTGAGGAAACGGACAGGGTTTACATTGAAGAGGCAGCAAGCCTGATTATTTTTACCACTGGCGCAGTAATCAGTATCGTCGTTAATGCCAAGGATTGTGAATTACTGGCACCATACTGTTATGACTGGCATCGCTGCTACCACGCAATACTTGCATTCTGCTATTTCGAGTACTATTGCTACATTCTTCATTATTTCGAATGGAATATTTCGTTGCGGATCGTAGAGGCGTACTTAGAGATTGTAAAACGCATTATGACGGGATGTTGGAGGGTCCCTCTTACAGGTTCTATGGAGATTTCGTGACACATACCCAAATGAAAGAAGAGCGGGGACTATGAACACCGTTAAGAGTATGCACCGCTGGGGTCCCTTTGGGGTGTGTTGGGTGATTGCAGGCTTGACGTCTCTGCACTACACTATACTGCGCTCGTTCTACTTCCACTTCTGCCGCTGTTGCAGCTGTCAAGGCGCCGCAAGGAGGGACGTCTACAGGGATCCATTCCTCCCTTCCCTACTAACAGCCAGCAAGTAGGACGCACCAAGAAAATCTTTGGACGATGAGATTCCTCTCATCAAAGCCCAAACCCCGACGACAAGAACCTTGACCCTTAACCCTGAACCTTGTGGCTGCACAGATTCCATTTCGGTCCCGTCATGAGATCGTGCAAGCTCACAAGCGTGCCCACAGACAGGCACGCTGAGAGCGAATTACTGTGAGATGGTCAGTTCTCAAGTGGATGCTTTAGGACTGTCTGCAAGGATGCATGCATGAACCCTGAACCCGAAACCCTAGTGACTATGAAATATTGAGCTTTTGTGCAGGAATGGGTTAGAGTAGGAACCCGATTAGGAGGCTTAAGCATTCACAACTCCAAAAATTAAATGCTCTCCCCAAAAAGCGAGGAAAAACGGAAAAATTAGGATTTGGAGGCGGGTGCGTTCCTCTTAGCTGAGGTGATTATGTATGTAGACATCTGAGAAGATGACTGATGACATTCTCTTATAGAGCCCTTGTGCAACTTTACTAGAATACACCCGAACCCTGCTTTTAACTTTAGTATTCAGACCCCAAAGCTTAACCCCTCACCGTATGCAAGCACTTCTCGAGGAGGTCACGAATGCTGCCAAGGGGCTCCGGATAACAGTAGATCGCTCTACAGTTTTTGTACCTGGGCAATCAGCGGATTTCCCAAAACTATCCCCATAGAGTCTTCAATAACTATATTCTTTCAGGGTCATTAAGGGCCCCTTGTTGAGAACCTCCCATTCAAAGCAACCGTGCAGTGCTGTGTGTGGGTTGTGGAGTGTACGGGCTTCGGGTGTAGTGCTTGGGATGTAGGGTTTGGGTCCATGCATTCCAAGGCCTTTGGGTCCCAATGCTGTAGTCTGAATAGTTTTTTGCACGTAAAGTGCTACCTTGATCCCACACGTAGGCAAGATGATGGCTCAAAACCTATGAAACGAGTCAAACGAAAAGCCCCCCATGCTGCATACTGGAACAAGTGGACTCTCCTTGCCTAAGCCCTACCTAAACCCCAAAAGTATGTAAAATAATAGCCCCAAACCCAGAATAACAGCCATAAAGGCCATTATTTTACATACTTTTGGGGTCCAGGTACACCCTGAATTAACCCTAAGCCCTAAAGCCTAAACTTCAAGTTGGTTCCCTTGAGGTTATAACTTAGGCGACCTTGGGTTTCGGGTCCGGATGAACCCTAAGAAAGGGGGTAAAATGGGGACCCCAAAGAGGGAACCCCATACATATATATATATATGTTATAACAGGAATCTAGTAGGAATAAGGACCCTGGCAGGCATATTCCTTCTATACTTATTTCCCGTTTTGGGATTCCCTTTAGAGTCAGTTTACCTAAGCGTACGAAAGATAGCTCGCTGACAAGTTCTCTGAGCTCGATGCGGCCCGAAGTCGAAGGGATTGTGGCCCTCCCTATAATAGTTTTTGACCTGCGGAGGAGGGAAGTCTTGATATGGAAGGGTTTCCGAGAATTAGGTGTACCATTTTGGGGGTCCCCATGATAAGGATCATACTTATTTGGGTGTCTATATTATTGCCCCCCCCACTATTTCCGGAAACTACCATGTCTTGCCCACGGGTATAAAAGACTAGGAAGGTATCTACAGCTATTGAAGGTTTGTATGTATATATATATATATACATACGTATATAAATATCTACACACACTTCTTTGGGGGTGCATCAACAGCATCGTTTAAGACATCGGTGGTTGAATAACTTGAGGCCCTCACCAGCCATGGAAATACATATGTGATAGCCCCATTGATAGCGGACCCTCACTATGAACCTCCAAACCCTATAGTCCTTTTTCTAGGGACCCCCAAAAGGATACCCCTGATTTTGGGAAACCCAGCGTGACTTCGGGGGTTATCTAGCGTGGCAGGTATAAGGATTTTAGATCTAGGGGCCAGGTACACAACACTATTAGTGCTGTTCAGCTATTATCTAATGCATGCTACCTAGTTACACGGAACTATAGGCTACTACCCGGTTATAACTTG